TTAAATTAAGACTCTGCGAGGGAAATCTTTTGATCTTTTTTTGTTTTGTTTTTTGTGAAATTTTGCGTTACGTAATTTATGGACGATCCCTAAGCATACACCCTTTTAGGAATATTTTTATCTGATACTTGTTCTGCTTCAAATACTCAAACACGACAATAGCATGGTTTCTGCACTTGGCTTTTAGTTTCCTAGATTAAAGAAACTTTGTTTGTTGGTTTTTTGTTTTATCATCACTATTACTTTCTTATTCGTTCGCGAAGCTTTACAAGTAGTATAGACTTTTTGCAATGGGATGAATTACATTTAGAGTTCAACATATTTATTGCAGAAAAATTCATAGCACTCATTAGAGTTTTAATTTTTAATTAGTTGCTCATAGTTAGAAGTCTTGTTTTTAGAAAGACGACATTATCTTAATTCAATATGCGATGATCTTGCGACGAATCGCATAAAGGAAAAGATAAGTTGATTACTCTTGTTGAAGAGTCTGTAATAATTAAATCCAAAACATTTTTTTGCTTTTCCTTTTGATGTTTCGAATGTTAAGAAATTAAATAATTGTTTTAAGTTATGATCAGCCTAATTATCAAGAAAACACTTGTTGCACTATTTTGACCGTTTAGTAATTCGATCCTGTCATCGTGCAATATTAAGTTAAAATCACCTACATTAACATACAGCTATACGCTTTTCTATTAACAGTTTGCTTAGCTGAAATAATTCATTTCATTTATATGCAATAAAGGTGGTCTTTAGACACAACCAATAGAAACGATTTAGTTAGTGATTTTATTTTCACACCATATTTGTTTGGAGTTACTAATTTCACACCATATTTGTTTGGAGTCTCTCTTAGATAAAGATCAGATTTATCATTCCCGACTAGATCACGCTGGTATTATATATGTTTAATTTAGTTATTATGGTACATAATTTTGCACTGCAGCAACCTATTTGTAGTACTCAACGGGTTTTTTACTTGCTACATGGGTCTAATAAAATGCGATTTGTAATTCTGATAAAAATAATACTTTTGTTTAGTTGCTATGGATATCTTACTTTGTTTAGTTGCTATGAATATCTTACTTTGTTTAGTTGCTATGAATATCTTACTTTTGTTTAGTTGCTATGAATATCTTACTTTGTATAGCAAAGTTTCCCAACTTATTTCAACATTGTATTATTCAATTTGACATTGTATTAGTACATTTCAATAATGTTTTATTCAACTTCAACACCGTTGCATTTGATCTCGACTGTTTTGCATTCAATTTCGACGGCGCTAAGAAAACTTAATAATATAGTTTGATTTTTCTAAATTTATTCAGATAATATAACTTTATATGCTTCTCCTTTCTTGAGCTATAGTTTTTTTGCTGCATCAAATGACTTCAGATTGAATTTAGATTCATCACTCCATAAAAGTTTTTTCTAGAAATTAATATCCATGTTAGTTTGAATGGAAACTAAAGTTTAAACAAAAAAATATCATAAAATATTGCAATAGCAAATATTTGCTTATTAAAAATGGAAAATACAAAAGTAAAGTTTATTCAACAATAATTGGTTCGCTTCTTGAACATGGAATCATATACTTAAGTAAGTGCCAAAAAAAATTATGCTACTAATACTCAAATCACCATTTTGTGTATTTTCAAGTAGTTCCTATTTCGTCATAGACGAACATCTTTTGATAAATTGATTCCGCTCAAAAAACATATTTTCAATAGGATTTAAAAAGGGAGAATATGGAAGTTAAAACTTCAAATAATACCCAGCATGTACTACTTCATCTTGAACAACGACAGCCTTATGAAAACCAACATTTTCTAGTTTCAACATTAATAGTTAATTGTGCTGGACGAATAAAATATAATACTGACGGTAATATTTCTTGATCATATATTGGTCACTATTTGCGTGGCCCTTCGTTCCAGCAAAAAAACGTCCTCTTTTTATTCGTATTGAAAGAATAAATTGTATTTCATCAATAAAGAATATTTTATTATTATTAATAGAAGACAATATGCTTATGAATCTTTCTGGATAAATAGCTCTTTCATGAATAGCGTCTTCAGAATATCTTCTCTCTGGAATATTATGAATATGTTTGAAAGAATAATTAAAATATCAATGCATTTTTCTATAGTAGAATGATTAAGAAAAATGGTCTTTGTTTGGTATCAGGGCCTGCGCGAACACGTATTTTTTTTTTCGAGTGTGGGGGGTGGGAAAGAAATACCGAATGACTTTTTTTAATTAATATCATAATTACTATTACCATTAAATGTAATTATTTCTGTATAGCAGTGTAGGTTAAATTTGACAAAATTAGACCAAAAAAACAAAAGAAAATATGAATCTCTAACTTAAAAAAGGGGACATGTCCTGCAAAAATTTACATAACATGTACCCTTTTTCAAGTTAGCGATTCATATATTAATAGCAATATTTGCTACATGTTTGTTCGTTTGATGATGTACCTATGAGCGCTGTTAACATTAATCTTAACATTTTTTTTAGAGTTGGCAAAGGTTTCTTGTGCATTTCTTGTGCATTAAAAATGTCTTTAAAACAATGAATTAACACTAAAAACTAATATATTATAATAATTATAAATTCCATCAAAACCACGAATAAATTACATCATAATCACTTATTTTATATGCATCGGAATGCAAAGGAATAACTTTATAATTATTTTAAAGTCATCCATTAAGTAATTGGTACATAACGGTGCTTTTAATGAATTAAAAACGGTTCAATAATTGTAATTGAAATACAATTTTTTCAAATGCTCATAAGATAATCATAAAAATATCTGGTGGTGCAAAATTAAAAAAACAAAAATGTTCACAAATGTTGTTCAACCCCCTGTTAACAGGGGACAAAAATTAAAAAATAATAGAGCTTGTAAATATTCCCAGTCTACATATACTTTTAGATGTTAAAGACAAAAATTTTAAAAAGATTAAAAAAAATTTGTTTGAAAACAAGAAGTATGGGTTACAGTTTTTCAACCGGTATTTGTCTACGATAATAATCTGAAAATTATCTTACCTTAAGAGTCTCCTACCAAGGGCAGCATCTCTTAAAAGGCTATGCTTGCAATAAGTTGCTTTAAAGCACAAACAACTTTGAGCTGTTTTTTCAGGAGTCCAGTCTTGGAGATCCTGTATCAAAATTCATTAAGGTACTTAGAGATTTTAAAGAAGTAGTCTATGGCTGTTTAGAAAAATCATTCAGCTATACTTATGTCAAAGATATAGAGCAGTTGTCTACGAGCTATAGAAATCTAGAGCTACAATTCCTTTGAAAGTACACATAGTTGAGCAACATATAATCGAATTCGTCGACATGAAAGGTGGAGTCTTCGGTATGATAAACAAATTTTAAGTTTGGCAAAAGATTAGAATAATATTATTTAATTATAATAAAAGTAGTTAAATACTTATTATTACAATAATACAACAGTCTATGCAAGATTAAACTTGTATATACTATGGCGATTACTCATTAAATAGGCTAATACTTATTTTGTGCAGTTTATATTCTGGTCACTTAGGTTACTGGACGGAACAAGCTCTCGAATCTATTCCCCTCGATTTCAATCAGTTTAGGCGAATGAGAAAAGTTAGAGAACACAACTCAAACTATATTAAAACGCTTTTTAAGTAGCTTTTAATTTGCAGGTAGCTTGTAAAAAGTATAATATTAACCTTTTATGAACAATTGTTTATCATAATTTCTTAATATATGATATGATGACATGCAAAATATAAATTATAATTTAACCATATAGACCAGAAATTTTTTTTTTTACGGCGATAAAGTAGTTGTAGTTAACCCTATTAAACCTCTAATATCCCATCCCTAGTGTGTGGTTTCTTAAAGAAATTTTTCAAATTTTTTCGTGTTATATTAAACTAGATCAAAATTCATCGACAGAATTTAAATTTTATCACATTAAAAATAGTTCAAAAGTTACGAACATTTAAAGTTATTTCAGGGGGTAAATTTGTGGAATTTCAAACATCATATGATCATAAATCTTAAACGAAAATATATTTTTTGATGAAACTTAAAACCTGTCGATAAATTTTGGTCTATTTATGATTGAACTTTAAAAAAAAAATTATTATTTTAGGAGATGTAGTTCTAGGAAGGGGGCGAATCGGGGTTGAAACGGGATTGGGTTAGTTTTAATTACATAAACTTTTTGCAATTCATCTTCATTTGATACCAGTATTAACACACTAAAAATATAAATATAACACATAGATTTTAGTTACCTATCTTGAACAACAAAATTACTAGATACTCGCATAAAATAGGTAATTTCTCCCTGTGCCTCCCCCCCCCCCCCCTCTCCGGTGAAAAAAGTTGTTTTTTACATTTTTGAAATAAGGAAGAGTCTTCTGATAATAAACAAAAACAAACTTCTGGGGATGTATTGCAAGGTCTCAGAGCACATTCCTATGCACTGTGAGCCCTTATAGTAAATTAGTTATCAGCCGCGGTGCTCATTGATTAAATTTCATTTCAAAATGACCATTGATCAAGTTTCCTTTTTCTTTTTCCTTCCGCGCGGAAGAACATTAAACTAGGAAAATAACCGCCTTTCTAACCAATGTCGTATAAATAGAAAGAGCAGGCTTTTTATCTCGGATCTCTTGATTTAGAAGCATACGCTTGCATCAGAAGCTACTGCATCACGGTTGATCAGTTCAAATTAAAAAAAGTTGTCTTGTTTATCAGAATATTTGCATATATAAATATTGTAATATTTACGTATATAAATATTGCAATATTTATATATATAAACAATATAATATTTACATATATAAATATTATAATAAACAAGACAATTTATTTAAATTATTTATTACCATTTAAATCTAATTAATTAGTCTAATAACAAATCTATATTTAAAAAAGAAAACGAAATTTTGTTTTATACTTATAACTATAAAACGAAACTAATTTTTTTTTTTTTATTAAACTATAATTTTTATTAATCAAAACATATCGAGTTACACGTAAAAAAAGACAAATTTATTAAAAAAAAAAAAGATTATTTTAATTAAAAATATTTTAAAGAAGTAATGAAATCATTTTTAATGCTTTTTCTCCTTGTTTTCTATTTCCGTCTCTTCTTGTACATATTTATGTTCTCTTTTCAAAAACATATGTGTGTAGTAAATTCTTGAAAATATAAATTTCATCCCAAAGATTAAATTACGAACACTTCTAAATACTACATCTCTTATAAGAGTTACTTGCGCACGAAGTGGGTCTAGGCTCCCATAATTAATTTCTGAGACTATGCGCTGATAAATAGTTGTGGTAATTATCATTGCATGTATATCTTTGAAAAAGCGTGTAACTAATCCACATAGGTTTGATACAGGTTGAAACAATGGTCGCAAAGCTAACGATAGAGACTTAGTACAAGAAATAAAAGGTTGAAACAAGGTATTAACAACGCCAGCAACATTACGAAGTGGTTTAAATAATTGAGCAAGACCATTATACAATGGATACATTAAAAGAAACATAGGCTTCATGTAAGTCCACCAGTAGGTAGACAAAATATCTGCATACGCATCTAACAATTTAAACCAATCAGTAAGAATATGCAAGTAAAACATAAAAAAGTCAATTAAAGGTTGCATGTACTTTTGAATAAAAGATACATGTTTATATAGTTGCCATAGTGCCCAACACAAAGTTAAAACAGTATATAACCCAATTAAATACTCTAACACCTGACGGACCGTGGAGGAATACCATTTAGCAGGTATATAATTAACCCATTCAGGAAGACCTTCTCTAATCTTATCAGGTACTCGTACATTTTTTTCAAGTCCACGTTTGTGCAATTCTTGGATATTTAAGCGTTCTTTTAATTTAGCTAGTTTCACACGATGTAATAAATTCTTAATATCATTGGCATATAAGACATCAAATGTAGCTTTAACCATACACGACTCCTGTTTTATTGACATATATACAGGATTTTTTTCAGTATATTTCTCTTCATTAGACTTATTATCATCTAAAGGTAACATACTAACTTTCCAAGCAACTAACGGATTTTTACACTCAACAAGTAAACGACATGTTATTGTATCCCAACTACCAAACTTTGAAGTTACACGAAGATCAGCAGCTGTGATATCAGAACATTCCAGGGTTGTGCATTTATTTTCATTTGCAACCGAGAAATCAGGAATTTTGAAGAACAACGAACTTGATGCCCCATCATACATCAATGAGCAGGCTAAAAATTAAAAAATATTAACAAATTATGTACTATAAAAATATGTTATGCACAAATCATGATATTACCCAGTTTGTGAAACAGTTATGCATAAATTGTGAATTAAAAATGGCTTGGAGTAGATGGTGCATATGCATACACTTTACATAGAAAGTTTAAACGCACTTATTTTATTAACGTGTATAATTCTTTTTAGAAATGATAACCAATGGATGAGATGCAATCAGTATTTTCAAGTATTATACTATGGGTATTAGAGTACAGCGAAATTTTTTTTCTTTTCTAAAAGTTTAGGAAAAGGTGTATTCTTATGTAAACTTCAATTTTAAAGAGGGTTTTCTAAAAAAAAATTTTGACCGGAAAAAGTTTTGATACCCAAATATGGTCTTTTAGAAATTGCAAAAACTTTTAAAATCTAATTTGTCACATGCCCTTCATTGTATTTTAAATTCCGATAAAATATTAAATGCAAATAATATTTTCAGATTAATGAAAGTTTTTTTGATACTTTTTAAAATCATTATCTTGCATGAATCCTATCTGCAGTTCAGATTCTGCATTTTTTATAAGGAGGAGGAGGGGGTCTTTAACTTTTTATGAGGCTTTAATGATTAAAAAATTTGATCATAACAGTTCATAATACTTTCACCAAAAAACAGATGGTTTATCCTACTATCTTACCCCAACAATATTTTGATAGAACTACTAAAACACTATTAAAAAACAAATAAAATAAAAATCTATTGAAGTTAAAAATTTAATAAAATTTCTTTCTTTGTTTTAAAAACAGGTAGCAACTCTCTATGTTGAGCTTTAGCTTATTATACCCATCTCTTGCATCTGGTCCAACTACTGATATGGACGTACTGTCACTTGTTTTACAGCACGCTCAGTACATTGAGTATGAATTTTAATCGAAGGAGTTATTAAAGGTATCAATCTTAGTAATAACAACTTATCTCTGGTGAGCGAGTAAAGTAAAAAAAGGTTCTTGTACAACACCATTTTCCCATTTAACTAGCTCTTGAAGAGTAGTTGCTGCAAAGTTAAGTTTAGGTGTTTTTCTTTGTCTGATTCGCATATCTTCAAGGATATTATTACGCCTTAGTTTCAAAATTCGATCAACTGCAAAATTGCAATCTTCTTCATTATTACTAGATAATAAAGAGATTAGTATACTTTCATGGTTCGCATACCAAGCTTCTAACTGGATGTAGGGAGTCACAATTTCTTTTACTCTATCAGGTTGCATTCTAAGAATTCTCAATTGAGACAGAATGTGATAGGAAGCATCTTCAAGTCTGCCTTTGACCTTTATGTCAAAAAAAAGTTTAAAGTAAAATTGTAAACGAAATACAACAAGTAACTCTAGATTTTGCGAATTTTGATCATTTAAGTCGTGTTTCCTTGTCCACATAAAGACTACTCTCATGCCATTAGTGAGCCATCTGGCATAACTTAAGGGTCCACATTGAATTTCTCTAAGATTAGGTGGCAATATACCAATCTTAACTGCTTTACATAGCTTATAATATTGTTTATGATCTGTTGACATATTTTTTAATATTGTTTCAAAAATGTCGACAAAGCTCTCTCCATTTGGAAGAGCTTTAAATTGAGGATTATACTCCATTTTATTAACATCAGGAAGAAATTTCCCCACAGGACCTACAAATCCAGTACTACATGATGTTGGTCCATCAATGCCTTCTATAAGGTGACGCAAAAATAATTCATTCAAATAAAACATGCATATGGCCCAGTGGCACTTGTGACCTAACAGCTTTTCAAGATGGGTTATAGCACCACCTTTCCAGCCTGTGTTAATTGAAGTACTGTCAGCTCTATATACTAAACATGATTCAGTAAGATTATGTTTTTGCAGCAAAATATAAACACCTTCAGCAATCTTTTTAGCTGGCTTATCTAGATGAGTAGGTGCATTTTGGGTAAAATGACCAAGATATCGACCACCAGGTTCTATAGTCACAGTAATGTGCTGCTCTTTGATAATAATAAGATGTAGCTGTCCATTCGAATCATTTATCATTGTTCTTGTTGAATCTTTCCTTCTGTCAAAATAAATGGCAATATTATCTGCTTTTGGAAGTTTTAAATTATCATTTTTCTTTGCAACTGCCATGACCTTTTTTCTCGCTTTCGTCAATTTAGAAGCATCACAAGCAAGGTAAGAGGACTCAGGGGTGAGAAATCCTGAGGCAATTAAATCTTGAAGATAACTTGTAGCAATTGCTGCAGTTGCGGCATGTGAAATCCCAAACCTATAAAATAAGAATGGTTTATATTTGTTTCTCATGTTGCTGCTCAACAAAACAATAGTCAATATAATTACCTTATACTAGGACTGATATATATATAATATAAAATTATTAAAAGGTTTAAAAAGATAAAACTTCTCCATTTTCCCAAATGCTTTTATTAACTTCTGTTTATCTGTTAGCATTAAATCTTTTAATTACTTTAAGTCACTCACTAACATAAGATGTAAATATAACAACATATATATATATATATATATATATATATATATATATATATATATATATATATATATATATATATATATATATATACATATATATCAGGCTGGGTAGCACCCTATAAATATATATATATATATATATATATATATATATATATATATATATATATATATATATATATATATATATATATATATATATATAAATATATATATATATATATATATATATATATATAAATAAATAAATAAATAAATAAATATATATATATATATATATATATATATATATATATATATACAGATATATATATATATATATATATATATATATATATATATATATATATATATATATATATATATATATATATATATATATATATATAGGGTGCTACCCAGCCTGATGGCCCCATGTGTAATGCAGTATTCCCAATTGGTTTAAGGTTTATAAGATCATAGTAAAAAAAAAAAAATTTTAATTGTGCTTTTCTTGAAATACGTAATTAAGGCGTTTTGAAAAACGGCTGCAGTATATCAAAAACAAAGAAGAGAAGCGATTTAAATGAAAACTTTAGAAGATTGCTCATAATGAAACAAGTTGATTAATTAAAATTAAACATATATAAAGTAGAAAAATAATCCTGCTGAAAATGTAACTCCCAGCAAAAATAGAAAGTTTATTTTGATTAAAATTTAATTGCAGAATGTAAGGAACTTTTTTTTTTTTTTTTTATTTAGCCCCACCTAAATTCCCAATTTCGCAAAAATGCTGTATGAAATTTTTTCCTGGGTAACACCCTGTGTGTATATATATATATATATATATATATATATATATATATATATATATATATATATATATATATATATATATATATATATATATATATATATATATATATATATAATTTTTATTATTATTATTATATAAAAAAAGAAAATATTTATTATTAAGAAATTATATTTACCTCGAAGAATGCTAGTTCCTCCTTTTTTTTTAAATTCTTTTCTCCTAAGATTCTTCATTGCTGACTTTTTTCTTATACTTTTTTCTTAGTTTCATTATCTCAATCTTATCAGCATGTTCCATCTGCATGTCAGACTTTTCACCTGTCTTATTTCTTTGACTGTATAACCAACCAAGCTCCATAGTCGGAATTTTTTTAGAATAAATATAGGTGAATTTATATGTGCTTTACTTTTACAATTTTGGGGGGAAGAATACCCAGACAGATCATGCTTGCTTAGAAGTATTGTGTGAGGACATTTTATGAGGTCCATTAGTTTATCTAACTTCAATATAAGCTCTTCTACTTTTACCTTAGTTCTTCCCCATGCAACGTTTCTCCCCAATAATAACTGGTTGTTGAAATAAAATATTTGCTTTTTTCCATTGAGCAAGAACAAGTGGAATTAATCGCTAGTAAGATCTTTGTTAAAATATTTATTTTGGTGTAAATTGCATGTTATGCTTTTTTGTTCTTTTAATAAAATTCCTTTTTGAATAACTGCTCTGTTTGTAGGCAGCTCACTAGGAATAGAATCTTTTCCAGGTCCAATAAACACAGAAATTCTAGTGGTGGATGAATATCTAGTCTTAACTTTTGACATTTATGAATAACTCGATGATATAACGAATAAAATATTTACAGACTGTGATCTTGTTATGATGTTTTTTACGGTGGAGAATTTCTTTGAAAATTGATTTGGCACTGCGCGCATTACAAGAGACTAAACATAAAACTGGATTAAATTAACTTTATAAAAATTTAAGTATATTTCATTTTAATAATGTCTAAATATGAAAATTTGGGTATCAAAACGTTTTCTAATCAAAGACTTGTCCATAGCAAACTTACCTTAAAATTTAATTTTACATAAGAATACACCTTTTCCTAAGCTTTAATTTAATTTTTTTCAAAAACATATGAAATTCACTGTACCCTAATGGGTATAATTTGATAAAGGGACAGTCATTAAGTATGTACACAGTAAAACCACTGATTTAGGATCCCCTCTCCATTGCACAGTGGGCCAGATAGTGGACAAAACTATTTTTTAAAGTGTGAAAATATAAGAAATTTTTTTTCGTATATTATTGCAGTTACATAAGTTTAGGTTTAGAAGCGCATTAGTTGCATCACTGTTGTTTTTATGTTATAAATTGTAATTTTTATGTGTTTTTTAAATCTGATTCATTTTACTTTTACAATATTTAATTAAAATTATTCTTGTAAATCTTCATCAGTACATCATGAATTTAAAGTTTGATGCAAATATTAATTAAATGATACATTTATTAAAGTTGGCATACAGTAATTTATATTGTATACTCATTTTACTCAACTATTCATGATAAATTAATTTAAAATGTTCTAGAACTTTTAAATGACGGCAACTGACATATCTATGAAGAACAAATGTATTTAATTTTTTTTTGCAACTGTTTCCAACTGCAGCTGCAATATCTATTTTAATGGTGTATACTTATCAA